GAAGGTTGAAACAACCCATGAGCTTGATTTAAGCAAACCCTGATAAAAGCTCTCCCTATCCAAAGTAAATGCATAAGAGTTATACCAGTGAATGATGCACTTAAAAAAAATCAAGGTTGGAGCTTAATGACTTTTCATCTGTAATTGAAAGCTAATGAATGAAAGTCATTAATCATTTTACAGTATGGGATGTCAGGGGTTTTTATTTTTATTTTCTTGGCAGAGTTTGAAAAGACAAAACAAAGGTGGGAAATCAAAGCACATATGGTGGGACTGTTAAGACTTGTGAAACTGTCTTGCCTGTCATTTGAACAGAGAAGTTTCAAGGTTGCGCATGAAATGTCCTAAATGTAACCATTCAGCAGCAGCCGCTTTTCATGTCAGTTGCTTAAATTCTAAGAATTCATTTGATGAAAGAAATGTCACGTGACATTTAGTTGGTCTAAAGTTCATCTTATTTTCCTTTAGAGTTTTACAGTACAAAATGACTGTTTTTACTGTTTTATAACCATCAGTGGAGGAAAAGGCAAGTTTTAGCAATGCAAAGTACTTTAGTTCCACATTTTAAAAAAAATTTTCTTTGTCAATAAAAACTACAGTTTTTCATCCCAGGAGCAGGATAAATATTCTGGATTTATATCAGGTGATAAAGCAGCAAGTCTCATAACACGCTCCAATAACCTACCTGCTCTAATTACAAGAGCAATCATAAAATGTCAGAATGAAAAGCAATATAAACAAAGCATAACATTCAACACGACAATATTGCACTGATTAATATAGCAGTGATAATGTCTGAAGTCATTTCTGTATTTAATGTAGATACCCCAGAGTAACAAACAATGTCAAAACTTGTACACTGAATTTGAAGTGATTTTACTTCTTGTGTTGATTTGTACAGTTTAGCCAGAAATAAGACATTTTGTTAATGTCAACAAAAAAGTGACAAAGTGCTTAATTAAGACAATGGAAGAGATCATGTCTGATCACAAAGAGGAGACAGATATTTCTGTGAGCAGATCTTATCTGACACTGGCTGATAAAATCACAGTGAAGCCTTAAGAAATAATGTTTTAGGTAGGGTGGCTGAATATCAGCATTAATTTGATCTAAGCCATATGCCAGTATGAATCTAATAGACTGATAATCTGGCGTCTCACTGCTGGTGGAACCAATCTGAGACAGATAAGCAGCTCACAGTCGGGGCCGATCAGCTGTATTGTCACATTGAACCCGAACATGAAAATATCTCCCATTAAGATCTGAAAACAACAAGGAGAAGCTGGCAGAGCGAGGAGAACGGAGGAGATGTGCAGATACACTGTGTGGAGTGATATCATCGATGTCTGCTCGGAGCTGTTCTGTCACCTCACATGCAACTGTCATTGCAATGTTTTTTACATTTTAAAATATAAAATGGTGTCTAAAAGTCACATTTTCCATAAAACGTGGTTTAATTCAACTTGTTTTACAACACAAATTAAATATAGACTTAATCTTTATACCCGCAGGTTCACTTTCTCATTTGGTATGTTTACACTGCTGACCCTTGTTTGACATTTTCTTTGATATGATCGAACAGAGCAGCTTCCTCCTTTTCTCTCTCCTCCTTCATTATGGAAAAATTATTAACATCTGCTACACAGACATCAGGAGAAGTCATGCATGCCTTAATGGCCCCTTGTTTAGTCATTTATGGGTAAGCATGTCATTATTTCAGGATTTATGATCAACCAGATAGAGAATGCATTCTCCTGCAGTTTCACCTAGCAATTATTTATTTTGATTTTTATGGCAACAAAGTTTCCTATCCTCCCTCACTATCCAATTAATGCTGATGATCAAGCATGTCTTAGTGCTTTAGCTGCTTCGGTTTTTGTTTTTATCTGCGTTTATGTCCTTTGTTGGAATGTAAAACATTTTGTGATGAGCCTGTTTTGGAAGAGTGGTGTATTAATAGCTGTGAAGTGAAATGTACAGTACATCCAAGGACAGCCAAAGAATTTAAAATGAGTCTTTAATAAATACAATACATTTTAAGTATTTGTATCTGTCAAGATGTGTTAAAATGTTTTCTACATAACCAGGAATAGTTAAAAACCAACCCTTTAAAACTGCTGGGTAAGATTTTTATGTATGTTTCATCACTACTTGAACAAAGTGAGGTTCCAATAGAGAGAAAT